GATGGTCAAGTCAACAACCGAACGAGAGAAATATGAGTGCAAAAGAGGAAGAGAGGATTTGGTTAGGGTTAGAGAACATTCCTTAATTATGAAATGAATCACATATATATAGGAAATGTAAATTGGCATGTGGGCCTAATGGGCCGGACCCAAGCTTAGGCCTAAAAATATCCATCTTGATTAAATAAGTTCACTATAATTAAATGGGAAATGCTACATGAACATAATGGTTGACATAATTATTGACATAATGCCACATGACAACTTATCATTGGATTGTTTAAAATACAGTAAACTTTTTCAATCAATCATATCTTGCCAACACTTATTTGTCAACCATTATGTTACATTTTTCGGATAAAGTAGCATTATTCTAATTAAATAGTCGATGCCACGTAATATATGGGTGTAACATGTACCATGGTTCAATAAGATGAACCGTGAATTCTGACAAAAAATCTTAATTAAATGATCAAAGCGATAACTTATAGGACAACCAAAATATGAAAAACTATTTTATATTAGTCAAATGTAAAAATTAAGTTTTTTTTTAAATTTAAAAGGTAAAATTTAGAGCAAATTATAGAAACTTTTCTCGAAAGTACATGAAAAATACAATTCCCAATAATCCACTTCATCCTATCTCCTAATCCTTTAAAGCGTCACGTTTTACACACACCTGATTAGATTGCACAAAAGAACGTCGTTTCTATATTTTTTATATAATTGATACCTCAAATGATTATTTTAAAAAAAATAAAATTAAGAACGTTATAATTTTAAAGAATAATTATAGGTGGGATCACTTTTCATTTTTTGCAGACTTAATTCAAAATTTTCATTTTTACCACTCACAATTCCAAACCTTTAAAATTGTTGTAACACGAGAATAAATGGACGGTTTTCATCCACTTGATTAAAAAACTAAAAATTTAACCTCTTTGACTTTTGACTAATTTTGATTAATTTTAAAAGGGTAAAACAATAAATTCATATTTTTCCAAATATTAATAATTAAAATAATTAAACTAAAAAAAAAAACTACCCCCACCTACCCCTACCCTAACTTTTCATCTTCGACACCATCCCATCTTCTTCTCCATTCTAGCCGAAAAACACATTCTCATTGCATTCAAAACTTCATTCCCATCCCATTTGGCCAAGTGGGTCCGGCAACACAGGCTTGGTAAACTGTTGTTGGCGAAAATACCGAGAAATCTTGAATTTGGGCTCAAAAAAATAATCAAACGAACACCAACCAAGACTTGCTCGACCTATAATGTTGCAATTGGTTGCCTCACGTTTTCACCCCCACAAAGAAGAACTATGGTGATTCGTTTGCACCCATAAAGGAAAAGTATAATAGAGATGGCAATCGGAACTTCAAGAAGAAGAACCAAAACCTCACATTTTCTCTCAATGCAAAACACAACATACGATTGCCCAAAATGAAGAAAATGGATGTATATAGCGTTATCTTAGATTCCAAACTTGGGCCAAAGACTTTAAATGGGCCAAGACAAATAACAACTAACCAATTAGTTGGGCTAACACACACATTACCACCTAAACCTAAACAACAAATGGGCTAACTGACAAATGGGTCATCCTAAGTGAATTGGTTATTTTCGGGTCGAACTAAGCACTATGACGTCGATAAAAGTATCCGACATTTTTCTTAAATCATTGCCTGAATTTATTGGGTATTAAAACACAACAAATCTCCACCTTAATACCCATTTAACGTACAAGTAAACAAAACATAAAGTTTATACTTGCCTAACCAAGGTAACCAAATAAAATTGGAATCACAGATCTTACTTCGTATTTTGAACCCGAAATACTTATCATACTTGATCCATGTACACACTATGGTTAAAATCAAGAAAACTCAAATAGAAACAGATAACCATAGTAATTAATCAAGAGCAAATAAATATGCGATGGAGATATAACATAGAATAATACACAGGTCTTTCGAACATGCTCACAAAGAATGTCATATTAACATTAAGTTAATCAAACAAATGGCCAACACATATATGACCCCATGAAAAAATCTCACCATACTTATCCTACTCCATTCCGTATAGCTCATATCTCGAGAACACATATCTCATCTCATCGTCCACTATGATCATTAAACTGGTCACTAAAATATGTTTAACTGGTAAACCACTATAAAGTTCATGGGATAATTCTCTATCATTACCTCATTTCCCCCTCAACTTAAGTAGATAACGGATCTCCACTTAACAGAAGTGATATTAATGTCACTCTCACACTCCACCTGATCAGGGTCTAACATATAGAGGATACCAATATTTAATTGCATCACCTCTCGTGATCCAAATGTCACTCTTCACATTCTCCTTATTTATCACAAATGCAATCTTAGGCATCTATACTCAAATAGATATACTTACTATAATGCATCCTAGACTACTATGCAAATCGATACATTTGACGACCAAAAAGGTTAAAGCTCAGTTTAAATCGACCCACAAGGTTACTCAAACATCAAAGCTCAAGATATTCACAAAGGATTTATCCCACAAATGGAAGGGTAAATGTGGTACTCACAAAGAGAAGAGAACGAAGAGTTGGTTACTTCACTACACTCACAAAAGAGGTTTATAAAGAGGTAGAAAATAACCCACATAAGGTTGCCTCATATTATCTCAAAAAGTACACAAAGATGAAGGAAAAAATGTGTGGAACTCTTTCTTCTCATTACCACACTTTCTCTTGTACCACTCATAGAGCAAAATGAGTATCCATAAATTTCACATAGATGCAAAAGTAGTAACTAGGTTTACACTCAATAAACCTTACTCGGGTCATAACTAGATCCAATAGCAACATTTGCCTCGCCTCTTTCCTCATCTTTCCTTCTATTATCATTCCTAAGACAGTCTCTTTGAACATTTAGAAATTTACCTCAATTAAAACACCTCTTACTTTTCGTTCTTGTCTTAGACCTACATTTGCTATCAATAGTTTTATAAAACTTTTCATTTTGCCAAATTGAAAATTCGACTTTTTGCCATTAGAAAAAAAATTAACTCAAAAAGTGTTGTCATTTTATCAAAAATGTACAAAACAGAAAATAAAATAAACAATGACCACAAGCAAATTATAGATATAATTCACATAAAATAGTCAAACAAACTTTCCTAATGTTACATGCAATTCTAATAGTGAAAAAAAAATTGACAATAAATTAATAAAGAGTTTAAGGCAAATAATTCATAAGTTTAGTAACAGGCAATGGTTACCCTCACACGGTAACAAACCTTAGAAGTACAGCCTCAGACTCTCATTTGATTTGTGATTTGGTTTCGTTGAGGTCTTGTGAGTGAGATACCTTGGTCCATTTGAGTGGAGCTGCCTTGTATGCATTGGGTCATTGATCTGAGCCATGTATAATCCACTTTTGGGTTCCATATTCATCATCATTGGAAATGAAAGTATTGTTTTACAGTCATAGTGTTAAGTACAAATTATAATTGGCAATTTCATTAGTCACGATCAATTCCTAGTTGAATTGTATTAGGAGTTTATCGAGTTATAATCAAAGTCAAAATATGAGTCAAAAGAGTTGTGGTTAGTAGTATAGTTAGGAGTTCAAGATGGACAAGAAGATCACATATGATCAAGGGAATGCAATTAGAAGTCTAAAAAGTGTCAAAGAGTCACACAAGTTATGTTCCAAATTCACAGTCTCAATTTGCAACATATTTTTCACATATAAAATATTGAAATTTGGACAATACTATTTATAAGAATTGTATCCCTTTAAGTTAGCTTTCCAACACATTTTGAATCACATCAATCAAATATCAGGAGAGAACTTTATGATGAAAATACTGACGACTGCTCAGCTGACGCTCGCATGTTGCTGGTCTAGCGCTCAAGCGACGTGTTTATCTGAGAAACAATAATATTTGATTTTCAAACTGATTTTGAGTTCTTTTCATCCCAAATACTACCCATTATAAATATACACTATATAGGACATTCAAAAGTGTGTTGAATCAAAATTATTTCATAGAGATCAATTATTTGATGGTCCAAAACATTGATTGATTCCTTGATTTAACAACAATATTATTTGTTCATTATTCAACTCATATATTGATCCAATTAGTAGAGTCTTGTTGTAAGTCAAGAGTTTGCTCTTCGAAAGCCAAAAACATATTCCAATATCTCTTACAACAGCCTACAACCTACGTCAAGATAACCCCACCTTTGAAACACTTTGGTAGTGCTCTTGGATCGTGCTCGCTACCCTTCCATGCCATCGGCTCCCCACATTTTTATTGGGGTTTGATGGAGCAAATACATAAAGATCTTTTGATCAAACACCAACCCGAAGAATGAGGAGTTCTTCATTTAATCCATCGAAGATGAATCGATATTAGGGATTGAGGGCTGTTGCAGAAACATAAATTCAGGAGGACTAATGTGAGATACCATGAGTCGGGATCTGGCGTCAGGAGCATATAGTCCAGAAATGCTAAGGTATAAACCAGGAGTTGAAATTTGTTTTGAAGGAACACATCTCCAATAGGATCAAGGGAGGCTGCAGGAATTGAAGTCAGAAGTTTTACAGGGTAGACGAGTCTGGGCCGTACTGTAAGGTTGCTTCGATTTATAGTAGATTATTGACTGGTAAAGTACTCGAAGTTTTTTACATAGTTGGAATTTCTCCATGATCATCTTTGGTGTTCTTTACTACTTTAATTATTGATTGAGATATTAAAACTTAGATAAACTGACTTGTTTGATCTAACCATCTAAAAATAATTAAATGGTGATTTGTTGTTTTTAATTGTATAATTCCGCACGTTGGGTCTAAATATTCGATAATTTAAAACTTTCACATATCAATATAGTTGAATTATTATCACCATATTGAACTAACTTAGTGTGGTTTATTGATTGAAGTTCACCATTCAGCTCTACAAAACCTTTCTAGCAATATCAGGGGCAGAACCATGTACAGCCTCAGCAAGAGCAATACCTCCCTCACCAATATTGCAGCTGTAGAGAAGAAAAGTCAAGTAAGTATTTTTTATGTAAGTGAGCATTAAAAGACCAACCGATTCGATCCGAGCTCTCTTAGTAAAGATTACGCATTACCAGCACGTCAGAAAGTGCTGGATGTTGGAAATTTACTTATCATGCACAACAAAAAATATATCAAATTTCAGTTCCCACCACGGATCTGTTTTGTGTTTAGATAGAAACTGTGTTAAGAATAATACATTTGATGAATTATGCAAACTCTTTTGCTGATTCTCGAACTCCAATGATCACGAACTGTAATCTAAACTCTCCAATTGTCCAACCTCCAATGGTGATCCACACAGAGAACAAGAATGATGGCTAATGTTTTCTTTTCTTGTACTAACAAGAATAATAAAAAATTCTCTACAATTTTCAAATCCTAGCAGCCTATTAATATAAGTCCAAGCAGGCTCGGACTTATATTTAATTAATCAAATTAATTAAAACCTAGTCCATCAATTAATTAATCCAATTAATTAATTCGTCAATGAGCAACTCAATTAATTAATTATCCAACACTTGTCAATTAATTAATCGGTAAATCTCATTTTTCTGATTCTCTTTTGTGTGTGACCCATTAGATTCCCGATCACGATGCCTAATGATGTGTAATATTATTTTGATCTAATCAAAATTGATAAATTAAAATACCTCTTTTAATTTATCACCAATTCACATCCATCGTCCCAAATTGACATCTAGCAACGTGTCAGGGCAATACATGTGACGGGAAATATCACGTAGTATGACAAAACCAAACTTGTTTGTTTACCGTGAAACTATAATCCTTTCGTCAATATGATCTGATCAATTATGAGATATGGATATGTGTCAATCTCAATTATCGATCATATCTTTTATCCNAGGACCATTTTCACTATCGAACGTTAGAGATTAACCACTAATACTCAGATAGCTATCCATGTGAAATCTCTCAGCGGGTCTCCAATGTTTTGTTCTATAACAAAACATCCCCATATTCATTCAAGTGTCACCACACTTTAGCTTATGAGATCAGCTATTTACTTTACAAGTAAAAATGCCACACGCGATGGTCTATCCATAATAACGATATCCGTATCTCGTTATTACTTCGACCACAGACGATTTAAGATTCAATTATATGTAATTTGTATCTCACAATTACAACTCCTTGTAATTAACAAATCAACAAGACTTGAATCTACGGATTCTATTATTAATTTATTATAATATTAATTCAATTAAATAATATATATTGCCATACAAATGCATATATATATATATATATTCGAAGTGTTTATGTTCAAAGTTGATTAGACTTACGGCATAACACTTACACTGGATTCTTCACAAGCTATACAAGGAAAGAGAAATGGTTAACTAAAACACAGTTTCAGACTTTTCTTCTTAATGAATGTACATAGTTCATTTCAATGTCATCTTGTTGTTAACTTGAAGCATATTGATGTAAATAAGCTTACCCCACATACCAGCTTGCACCAAAAAAAATTGCATACAAAGAAATGGACACTCTCTTGTACCATATATCAAACAGCAATTGCAATGATGACTTCTTCATATACTATTTCAGGGTACTTTTCTGCAACCTCACGACAACACTGCAAGGTAAAAAAGGAAATTTAACAGGTAGAAAAAATAAGACCAAACTCAAGCTTTAGTCTGAAGGCAGACCTTAAGGAAAAGACCATCAGTTTTCTACATAATATTGGCTTTGTGTATTGCAGGTACTCTCTCTTCCTTGAGCCTTGCCTTGGGCCGGACCTGAGGAGAGGCCCAAGAGGCCTCCGCCTCAGGCCCAGATTTTTTAAGGGCCCATATTTTTTTTAAATTATTATTATAACCTAACGCTTCAGTCACAGTCAGCCTTCAGGTTCAGGCCGTTCGTTCACTTACCTCCAGTTGAGAGACGAGTCCAGAGTCCAGTCTCCAGACGGAAGAAAAGGCAGTGGAAACTGGTGTCTGTAAGTATTTTGTTTACATTTTACATTGAGTATTGCTGATTTGCTGTGTAGTTCTGAGTTCTCGGCCGCTTTTGCATTTCTTTGAATTTTTCTTTCTTTCTCTTAATTTATGAAACCACGGCCATAAATTCCAATTTTCACGTGAATTTCTATTCTGAGTTTGTATATCTAGCATTGATTTTCAAACGATTTTTCTGATCTATTTTTACTTCTGGGGTTTCCAAACGGCAGTACTAAGCTAGGCTAGCTAAGCTCTTATTTTTACAGCATTCATGATCTGGGTTTCACTTATTTTGTCCAAGAAATCATTTTGATTTTATACTGTATACATTCCCTTATTTTCCACTGTATCAAATTGATTTACATTATGATTAAGTTGCGTATTGTCCAGAATAAAATGATTGTTTAGCATTACCTTTTCTAGTAAAAAAACTACAATTCTAGGAGGTCCGAGGTGCCAAATATATTTTAGATAATTTTGACAATTGCTATGCCCAGAATGCAACATTATTTTCAAGAACTAGTAAATCACAATGGTTGTGTTGAGTGCTAGTTTAGAATTTGATAAATTGTTGTAACCTTGGCATTAAAATTCGGATTACCCGACTAAATTTACTACATATACTTGGCTTTAGATTTTGGAAGATTTTATCTAAATTTCAAAATATATTTGTGTTAATCAAGGTTTAAGTATGAAATGAGCATAAGGGGTAACATATTGCTTCAAGTGATTCTCAGTTTTATCAACCGATTTTGAGGCTTGTCTAGACAGATAGTGCTAACTATTTCTGTTTTCTAATTGCTGGAGCAGATCAGTTTTCAAATTGGACGAACTTGGTTTAGAGATATTGAGGATTGCTCTGCCTGCATCTCTGGCTTTGACAGTTGATGGTGTGTTTCTAGGTTAGTATCCCTTCTTCTCTTTTTGCATCGAACATTTCTCAGATGACGTGGGCTAAATAGGGCTATTTTATTGAAATTTGTATTTATTAATGGTGATAAGCTTGGCTTGGTGAAGCAGATCATATTTTTACTCTATTTTGCTATAGAGTTGTTGGTCGTCTATGTTCATCTTTGTTTTTGCACCCTACTTGTTCCCATACTCTTTCACATCTTCATTTTTCACAGATACAGATTTACTCTTTGTTGCTTTATTGTTAAATTTAAGTTAACAAATTTAGTTCCGTAATACTTATATAAATGAAAAAAATGGATTGTCTGCTATGACTCAGGAGCACAAATTCTGAAATTCGCCTCCGACCCCGCAAAACATAGGTCCAATGGCATAGTAGAATGCAACCCTCAAACTTGCTTGACACGTGTGTAATGATCTTGAGACTTTCAACAACACCCCTTACCACCTACAGCCAAATGCAAGGAACACAATCACATTCTGAGTTTCATTTTCTTATTGAATGACACAAGTGTTTTCTTCAAATATCGCACGCAAAATGCAAACAACAAAAGCAGTGCTTTAAATTGACTTTTTTCCATTTATGATGCTTTCAGTCCACGTGGAAGTAGACTCTAATCTATTTTCTATTCTCATCTAGATTTCCTTTTACCTCAACTCTTCAATGGTCAATCTTTGTCTAGGTTGAAAACTTGTAGATCACATGAAATGGTTAAAATTAATTATTGGTTTTGACTTAATTTCTTTCATTTTTTTAGATAATCAAATATAGGCTCAATTTAGTATCTATAAATCTATAAAATAGAAAAATGAGTGATAAAAGAAACGTATAACAAGAACTTTTAAGTCGAGAATTCTTTATTGGAGCAAACAATAAAATAAAAAAGTCACAAAATATTAATTTTAATTTACTCAGAACATTTTAATCGAGGCGACCCCCTAGACCTACTCAACAGAATCGAATCATGCATTATCATTATTTTTTCCTCTATATATATATATACATTTCTTTTCTTTTTTTTGATTATTTATATAAAGCTCTTATCCAAGGTCAATCTTGACAATCATGAAGCCTTATACGGCTAATTATTATGAGACACTTATATAAATTTTTTTACAAGCTAATGACTCAAATAAAAAGCTGTCACATATGATGATTACTGCAATATCTGACTATAAATAACAATAGTCTTTCTAATATGTACCTATTTAATGTGTTTTGTTATTAACAAATATAAACTACTCACATTTAATACATTATTTAATATAAGGATGTATTTGGGGAAAAAAAAAAAAGTAAAATTTATATTTCCAACTATATTAATTGTAGTTTTTTAATCCGTTTTAAAATGGAAGCAACCATATCTTTATGAGATGGAGGTATACTTAAACGAAGATGTTTTATAATCCAAAAGATAAAGTAGCAAAATAAATCATCTTTGACAACTCAAGAAACTAGGGTCGCTTAGCAAAATTATCTTGTTGGTGGATAAAATATTATCAAACTGTAAATAATAATATCTAATAATTATTAATTGGAAAAACACGAGTAAGGTGCAATTTAGCAAATTCTACACAGCTTAAAAACTAAAGTGAAAATCATGAGAAATTTTTAATAACCATAATTTGAAGTTTCTGAGAATATTGTAAGGATGATTAATAACTAGAAGTGATTTTCAAAACTTTAACCAGAGATAGGACCCTTAATGCAAGAGTGTAAAATTTAGGGACTAGATTTCAAATAGTGAAAAAAATTTAGACGATAAAGTGACAAGTTAAGATTATTTAGCGATTAGAAAGATCACCAAATTCTAATGATTTTGATTTAGAAATATTTTAATAACTTTGAGATCTTGAGGGACTAAAATGAAAATAAGTTTCGAGGTTAATAATATATTTGTGCCAAAATGTGTATTTTATTTGAGGATTGAGAATTACCTTATTAATATTGGACTCATTTCGAAAATCGTATTATTTGGCACATCACATACTCAAGAAAAAAATAGTTTGGATAAACCAAGTTCGAGTTATAACTCATGAAAATAAATTACTGGATAGGTAGTATTTGTTTTCAAATTAGACCATATTTCATAACAAAATTGGGCTCGTTTGGTACTTCGTAATTAATCATGTATATTAAGCTTGAAAAAATTTATTAGGAAAATTGCACAGCAATTTTTAAGTTTACGAGTGTGTTTGATGCACATTAAAATAGAAAGAATGCATTTTTTTGTGATGTGATAGTGAATATGTGGTTGAAAATGGAGGAAAAGTTATTGATGTGATGAAAAATATTATTTTATGGAATAATGTTTGATTGAAAATGAGTAGAAGAATGAAAATGAAAATGAGAATATGACTTAAACATGGGCTACATTTCAAAAATCTAGTGCCAACACACCCTACCTCATTCCACACCAACCACCATTCCCATTTTCACCCCTAACCTTAACCTAACCCCATGTTCACACCCATGAACCGTAAATCGCCATTACCACTTCACCATCGATTGGCGATGATGCAATAGAGAAGAAGCAAAAACGACGAATAAGAAGCAGCAGCATTTGGGCGAACGACAACCACTAACTGTCAGCCACCACTTCATTAGTTGATTGGTGGTGGCGGTGCGATCGAGAAGAAGCAGAAATGATGGCGCACTAAGCAACAGCGTTTTTGGGTGAGCGACATCTAGGGATTTCCAACAATCTGGGTGGTAAGATCGGCAATGTTCTATGCTTCTGTGGTGATAGTTTGTGAGATTTGTGCGAAGAAGAGGTGGAGGCGGTGCAATTGTGGTTGGAGATGGAAATGATGATCGATTTGAAGAGGTGGTTGTTGGTGGGGTGGGGACGTGGCAAAGATGTTTGGGTGTTGCCGGTGCCAATGGTGCTCAAGTGGAGTATAGTGGTGTGGGATGAAGAGGGTTTGCGATCAATTATTTGGATAATTGTGACTAATAAAATGAATAATTTGTCAATAAATAAAGTCTACCCTATAAAAATATATAATTTGTGATTAAATTTGTAATTGGGATCCAAATTTTGTATTTTGTGATCGTGACATTGTGTGATTTGTGATGGTACATGATTGTGACAATAAATTGTATGTTATCGTGACCTTAATCTATAAGCTTCTGTTTGGGATTAAGTTAAATTTTTATTAATTTTTTATAAAAATTGATGAAATGTGTGGTTGAAAAACTGTGAGTCTCATAGAATATGTGATTAAAATTAATTGTTGACTTTAATTTAAATTAAAATTTTAATCCCTTCAAAACATGAGCTTAATTAATAAAACGGGTCACAAAATTTTTATCAAGTGGTCACATTTGTGACCAACTAATTTTTGAAACAACTCCACAAATTTCTCAAATTTGAGAGTGAATTTTAAAACTATGATAATTATGTATTTTTCTCAAATAGGTTCGAAATAATTTTTTTTATCATTTAAATCTAAATCAGAAATTTAAAATGGGTTAATTTACAAACGGTCACTGAAGTTACAGCAAAATTCCAAAATGGTCATTGAAGTTCGAAACTTGCATAAACGGTCACTCAACTTACAATCATTTTCAAAAATGGTTACTAAGCAAAATTAAGGATCTTTTTGAAATTGGAGGGTCTGAAGTGCAATTCCCTCTCTCAACCACATCTCTAACAGTAAAAGTACACCAAAATTCCGATGACTTCTGGCCACCCAAACCGCCGGATTTGGATACCATTGGAAAGCCTTTAATCCCCTCATCAATTACCAACAAACCCCTCCCAATTTCATCAAGTAAATCGCGAAGGTCGTAATAACGCAGTGGGGAACACGAATTCCGGTGCCGTTTCGACGAACCAGGGTGGCGCACCACCTGGGCTGGGTGCGCCCTCACCTGGTGCATCTAGCCTAGCCATGGGTCTCCCCCAATTTGACCCCAATCAAAATGAATTTTGATCTGAAGCGCTCACTGGCTCGAACTCGCGAAAGCAGAAAATGAATTTGCACTTCAGGTTCTCCAATTTTGAAGGGGCCATGTTTTGTTAATTTAGGTTTTAATTTGAACAAAATAGTCCCTTAATTTTGCTCAGTGACCATTTTTAAAAGTGATTGTAAGTTGAGTGACTGTTTATGCAAGTTTCAAATTTCAGTGACCATTTTGAAATTTTGCTGTAACTTCAGTGACCATTTCTGAAATTAACCCAATTTAAAATACATCAAAACGACAGTGGACACAAACCCAGCAAAAAAAAAAAATCAGAAAATCGAAGACCCAAATTTCTTCACTCCCCAAGTGCCCGACTGCAGTGAACCCTATCTCTCTTTGCCGTGGCCGTATATCAGCTCTTTCTCCGTATCAATTCTCTGTTGACAGCCTCTTACATTCTTGCCAGGTTTCGGTTTTTTTCCCTTCTCTTTTTGGTTTTCGGTGGTAATTTTTTCTTTTACTCATCTTTTCATAATTTTTTATTATTATGGATGATTGTGTGATAATCCGAACTTACTAATTTTTACTTATTTTGTGCCCGTCTTAACTCTATTACATAATAATCTGAATTTACTAATTGTTAATTTTTCCTAATTTTTTATTGTTTGATAATATTCCTTCTACTAATTTTTTGCTTGTCTCTTGAATTTTTGCATGCCGTTTACCAGTTCATTTTTTGCTAGCCTCTTGAATTTTTGCCTGCCTCTTGAACTATTCCTAGGACTGGCCTTGAAGCAATTGGTTGAATGATTCCTAATAAATAATCGTGCAGATTTCTTCCAGAAAAGTATTTTATCAAGTACATTTTTCTTTTAGCTCACACAAATTGACATGTATAAATGGACGAATATTAGCATTTATATATTGTGATATTATGCATCTGTGAAGGTGATTTGAGGCATTAGTATGTCACTGTCTTCATTGTCATTGATTTGGTGCTGAATGAAGGTGATTTGGAACTGATTTCCTTACAATGCTTTGATTTAATGCTAATTGAAGCTGATTGAAGTTAGGTTCGGT